AGACTACAGTATAGGGTAAACATAACTTTTACATGCATCAGGAAACCCCAAAATTCATATGACTCATTTAATTTTATTCTGGAACAGAACCCACAATATCTGTATATGCTCTGAATCAGCACCCACTTATGGTGCTGTATCTCCTGTAGCCAGGATTCATGGGTCTAGGAATCAAGGGGTAGAGATGGCACTGGTACCACTCACAATTACCTTACTGATCCATTAGCAAAACTTTTGCTTCCTGTTCCCACATCTTCATGCTCTGATAGCCCAGAGGTGTTAGTTCCAGAGGGAGGAATGCTTCCACCAGGAGACAGAGTGGTTCCGTTGAACTGGAAATTAAGACTTGCCACCTTGCCACTTTAAGCAGCTTGTATCTTTGAATCAGTAGGCAAAAGAGCTGCAGTGTTGGCCGGGATCGCTGGTCCTGACTACCAAGAGGAAACTGGACTACTACTCCACAATGGAGATAAAGAAGAGGAGGGATGTCTGGACAATAGGAGATCCGTTATGGCATCTCTTAGCATTACTATGCCTGGTGACTTAAGGTCAATGGAAAACTACAACAACCCTATCCAGGCAGGATTGGTAATGGCCCAGACCCTTCAGGAATGAAGATTTGGGTCACTCCCCCAGGTAAAGAACCACAACCATCTAAAGTGCTTGCTGAAGGCACAGGGAATACAGAGCTAAGTAGCAGAAGAAGGTAGTTGTAAATACCAGCCACGACCATGTGACCAATTACAGAAATGAGGACTAGAATCGTCGTGAGTATTCCCTCCTTATTTTGTTTTGAGTACATCCCTGAGTAAACATACAGGCATACCTAGGGAGTACTGCAGGTTTGGATCCAGAACACCACAATAAAGTGAACACTGCAATAAAGTGAGTCACACGGAATTTTTACTTCCAAGTGCGTATAAAAGATATGTTGGCACTACACCGTAGTCTCGTAAGTGTGCAATGCCATTATGCTTTAAAAAACAATGTGCATACCTTACTTTAAAAATATTTTATTGCTAAAAAAGGCTAACCATCATTTGAGCCTTCAGTGAGTTGTAATCTCTTTGCTGGTGGAGGGTCTAGCCTCGCTGCTTATGGCCGCTGACTGATCAGGGTGGTGCTTGCTGACGGTTGGGGTGGTGGTGGTAATCTCTTAAAATACGACAACAATAAGGCAAAGGATGAAGTCTGAAGAATTGATTGACTCTTCCTTTCATGAACAATTTCTCTGCAGCATGTAATGCAATGCTGCTTGATAGCATTTTACACACAGAACTTCTTTCAAAATTGGAGTCAATCCTCTCAAACCCTGCCGCTGCTTTATCAACTGAGTTTACGTTATACTCTAAATGAATGCTGTCATTTCAACAATCTTCATGGCATCTTCACCAGGAGTACATTCCATCTCAAGAAACTACTTTCTTTGCTCATCCATGAGAAGCAACTCCTCATGCATTAAAGTTTGATCATGAGATTGCAGCAAGTCAGTCGCATCTTCACGTTCCACTTCTAATTCTCGCTCTCTTGCTATTTCCGCCACATCTGCCCAGTGAAGTCTTGAGCCCTTCAAAGTCATCCATGAGTACTGGAATCAACTTCTTCCAAATTCCTGTGAATGTTGATATTTTGACTTCTTCCCATGAATCACAAATGTTCTTAATGGCATCTAGAATGGTGAATCCTTTCCAGAAGGTTTTCAGTTTACTTTGCCCACATCCATCAGAGGAATCACTATCTATGGCAGCTATAGCCTTATGAAATGTATTTCTTAAATAATAAGACTTGAAAGTCGAAATTACTCCTTGGTCCATGGGCTGCAGAGTGGACGCTGTGTCAGCAAGCATGAAAACAACACTGATCTTGTTGTCCATCTCCATCAGAGCTCTTGGGTGACCAGTTGCATTGTCAGTGAGCACTATTATTCTGAAAGGAATCTTTTCTGAGCATTAGGTCTCAACAGTGGGCTCAAAATAGTCAGTAAACCATGTTGTTAACAGATGTGCTGTCATTTAGGCTTTGTTGTTCCATTTATAGAGCACAGGCAGAGCAGATTTAGCATAATTCTTAAGACCCCTAGGGTTTTTGAAATGGAAAATGAACATTGGCTTCAACTTAAAGTCACCAACTGTATTGTATTAGCCCCTAATGAGTCAGCCTGCCCTTTGAAGCCAGGCATTGACTTCTCCTCTCTAGCTATGAAGGGCCCAGATGGCATCTTCCTCCAACAGAAGGCTGGTTCATCTACGTTGAAAATCTGTTGTTTAGTGTAGCCACCTTTCTTAATGATCTCAGCTAGATCTTCTGGATGGTTTGCTGCAGCTTCTACATCAGCACTTGCAACTGCACCTTGCAACTTTTATGTTATAGAGATGACTTCTTTCCTTAAACCTCATGAACCAACCTCTACCAGCTTCAAACTTTTCTTCCGTAGCTTCCTCATCTTTCTCAGCCTTCACAGAATTGAAGAGTTAGGGCCTTGCTCTGAATTAGGCTTTAAGGGAATGCTGCGGTTGGTTTGATGTTCTATCCAGACCACTAAAACTTTCTCCCTATCAGAAGTAGGCTGTTTTGCTTTCTTATCAGTCCTGTGTTCACTGGAGTAGCACTTAATTTCCTTCAAGAACTTTTCCTTTGCATTCACAACATAGCTAACTGGCACAGCAGGCTTAGCTTTCAGCCTGCCTTGGCTTTCAACATGCCTTCCTCACTAAGCTTAATCATTTTGGCTTTTGATTTAAAGACTTTTCTTTCACTTGAACCCTTGGAGGCCATGTAGGGTTATTAACTGCAATATTGGTGTATCTTGGGGGAAAAGGGTGGCCCAAGGGGAGGGAAAGAGATGGGGGGAATGGTCGGTCGGTGAGGCCGTCAGAACATACTCATTTATCAATTAAGTTTGTGGTCTTATATGGGTGTGATTCCTGGCACCCCAAAATAATTACAATAGTAACACAAAGAACTGATCACAGATCACTACAACAAATAAAATAATGAAAAAGTTTGAAATATTGCAAGAATTACCAAAATGTGACACAGACATGAAGTGAGCAATGGTGCTGATAGACTTGCTTGACACAGGGATGCCACAAACCTCCAATTTGTAAAAAAGGCAGTATCTGTGAAGTGCAATAAAACAAGGTCTCCTGTACATATATTTAGCAAATACCTTGTTTGCTTCTCTTATTCCCTTATCATGTAACATATGATGTACAGACTCCACATTAGTATTTAAGTCTTATTAACTTTACATCATAGTATTCAAGTTATGGGCTATCAGAAGAGTAACAGCATCACTCAAGAACTTTACCTCCTCTTCTGGGGCAGGGATTAGTGTATCTGCAGATGTGCACTGAATATTATATCATGTTAGGCAGAATTATGACCTTGCTGTGTCTTAATTAAAGATTCAGCATGTTTAAGGAGATGCATACAAGTGTCAAGTTGACAAGAGGTGACTTGTGATGGTTACTTTTATGTGTCAACTTGACTGGGCTAAGGGATGCCCAGACAGTGGGTAAAACATTATCTTTGGGTTTGTCTGTGAGGGTGTTTCTGGAAAGACTGGCGTTTGGATTGGCAAACTGAGAAAGGCAAACGGCCCTCCCCAATGTGGGTGGGTGGGTATCATCCCATCTGTTGAGAGCCGGAATTGATCAAAATGGCAGGGGAAGGACAAACTCCCCTTCTCTGCTTGAGCTGAGACATCTGTCTTCTGCCTTCCAACACTGGCACTCCTGGTTCTCAGACTCTTGGGCTCATATCAGGACTTAGGCTGTCAGCCCCTGATTTTCAGGACTTTGGAATCGAACTGAATTAGACCACAGGCTTTCCTGGTTCTCTCTTTGCAGATGGCAGATAGTGGTCTTCTTTGCCTCCATAACCGTGTAAGCCAATTCTTACATTTCTCGTGTGTAACTATATACATCCTATTGGTTCTGTTTTTCTGGCGAACTCTGACTAATACACCAACCACCACCCCTTCTCCTGGTGATCCTGTGTTGGAGAACTGCTCTCCCATTTTGTGCTGGTAGAGTGGTCAACCCCCTCTCCCCAAGGGAGGGGTGTGTACCTGACCCAGGCCTGGCCGATCAGAGCATTCCCGCAGTCATGGCAATAGAAATCAGAGGTGCGCTACCCACTCTTGGTCATCTTAGGCTCAACCAGTCAAGCTCAAAGAGGCTACCTGGCCCAGCTTCCTTCAGGGCACAGGCTAGGAAACACTGCACCAGCAGGGCAGCACCAGGGAGGGCCATCCCAGTGGTCCAGGTGCTGTTCTCTGGTCCCTAAGTGAGCAGAAGAACAAGCTACATCTATGCACCCCAGGGACCAATGTGATGGCCCTCTGGCAAAGTTTCCAGAGGTCCCAGCGAGGGACTTGCCCAGGGAAAGAACCACCGCATGTAGGGAAGCCCACCAGGGACTTGGTTCACTCACAGCCTTCCCAGCCCAGACACGGTGTGCACTAATAAGTCATTTTTACCGTAAGTGACCTGGCCCACGAACATAGCTGGTATTCCACCTTCATCTAGGGAACAGAGCTAGAGGCAGGGTAACTGAAGCATTCACAGGTAGAAAGGGGGAAAGGGTTTGTTAACTCTGCTTACGAAGGGAGAGCTCTGTGCCATATGATGACGTATGAAGTCAGGGACACCTCTGAACTTTTTAGTTACATCAACCTATAAGTTCCCCCCCATTTAAGCCACTTTTGGTTGGATTTCTGGTTGGATTTCAGCCTGGATGAAAAGAGTCCTGACTAATATACATATGACTCAATAAAAAGGGGAGTGGGGGCTGGATTAGGTGGAGAGATGAGTTTTAGTCCTGATTCTCTGACTAAATGAATTGGAGCCAATCTTTTTGTCTCTGGCCTGAGAAGGGGTTAAAGGAGGGAGCCAGTTCTCCAGTTGGGCAGAGCATTTGTATGAAATTCCTGGGCCCAAGGCCTCCTGCAGTGTGAGGGTGGGGCTTTGGCTAGAAGACTTCTATCTTTGTCTCTCTTACACATCTACAAAACACATCAGGGATTTGTGTAATGCCTTATTTCAAGAAAGGATTCTGCAGAAAAAATCAGGGTGAGAAAACCACCGCCTGGATGGCTTCTTAGGCTCCTTTTGGAACCAGCATTCAGGGAATCCAGAGGATGATATCTGGGTTCCCTCTCCTGCTCAGTCCTTCAGCAAACATCTATTTGATGCCTACAGTGAGCTGGAAGAATGATGTAGGGTGATTCAGAGAGAAGGTGCACTCCTGCGCCAGCAGGAACTTGGGTTCCAGAGTGGGAGATGGGACACAGGGATGACTGGATGTGAGGGTGAGTGGAAAGAGCACTAGGGTGTAAACAGCCATGGGATGGCAGGATCCCTGGGACTGAGGAATTCTGGGGGAGAGCCTCAGTACAAGAGCAGGGCTCTGATCTGGCCAAGTCTAGGAGGAAATGCATTGCTGGAAGGAAGAAGATGTATGAAATAGTTAAGGGGAAAAAAGCCGAGGCTGGCAGACAAAACCAGGAGCGGGGTTGAGTTCTGATCCTTCGCTAGGTGCCACACTGAGGGCACACATAACTGCATTCATTCTCTCAAGTCCGCTCTGAGGCAGCCACCACCTTCCCCTGACCTGCACACAGACGAGACTCAGAGGCATGCCCAAGGTTGCACAGGATGAAGTGCACGACAGGCAGCCCCAGGAGATGCTGGTGTGCTCATGTTTAGGCTCAGCCTGCTTGAAGGGGTAATGCCCCCCACAGGCCCACCCCCACAGGCACTCAGGATAGGAAGGGGAGCCTTGGAGGGCAGGGAAGGGAGAGGCAGAGGCACGCACCAGGCACTCACCTCTGGAAGGAGGCCACACGGTCTTTCAGAGCCTGCACGAAGGGGAGGATCCAGTGATGGCGCAGAACCACGCTCTGGGACAGACTGAGGTGGAACGCCTCCATCCTTACCAACCGGGGGACGTAGGTCTGGGCGCGTGGCAGCAACACATCAAGCAGGTCCAAGAACTCCTCCCCAGCTTCATCTGGAGGGGAAAAGTGGAGAGGGTGGCCCATTCTCTTAGCCAGGGTGGCACAGCTGGATGAGAAAGGCCTTTGTTACTCTGAGTTTTAGGAGAAAGTTACTTTGACAACAGTCAATGTCAATGGATTCTAATAATATTTTAATATGTATTTATGGTTATAGAAGTCACATGCACTACACTGCAAAATTATGTGTGTTATAAAATGTACACTCTTAAGAACAAATTTAAAAAGATAAGATAAAAAGAAATATATTAAAATTTTTTAATATTTTTCTTTCTAATGGATCATCTTGATCTCCCCTATAGGGCACATACAGCCCACTTTCAAGACCACTACCCTAAGGATAAAGATTGTCAGACTTGATACCTAGTTCCCCAGCCTTTTCTCAGTGCAAGCACTGATGTATATATTTTATTTGTTAAAAAAGATGAGAACGTATCATTCAAACTGTTCTTCCACTGGCCTTCTTCATATAACACTATGTGTTGGACCTCCTTTCTCTCATTACAGAAGTTCAGCTCATGATTACAACTCCACAGTAATCCATAACCAGAAACAGTGCATTTCTTTCATCAGACATTTATGAGACATCTAGAATCTCCTGATAAGACACTTAGAATGCTCCTAATTATTCATAAAGACAAAGAACTCAACAAGGACCACTGTAGTATGTTTTCAGATTTTTAAATTTTTAGCAAACATGACTGGAGCTGCATGGCTAATAGTCTGCTCACACCTAATGAGTTACTCAATTTGTCCAAATGCCCCATGGAGTAGGCAGTATAGAGAATCATTCCCATTTTGTGGATAGGGAAGTGGAGGTTTCAAGAGCTTAGCTGATATAATACAAAGTGATAAGAGCTACCACGTCCTCTGTGGTGCTAAGAACTTGACATAGATACTCCTATTTAATCATCACAAAAGTCCTAGAGGGTAGATATTACTACTCTCCCCATTTTAGAGATGAGGAAACTGAGGGTCTGAGAAGTCCAGTAACTTAGTAAAGGTCACTCAGAGTAGTGGGTAGTGGAGTGAGGTCTGACTCTGAAGCCTGGGCATTTTCTGCCTGCCACTCACTCATTAGGAATGGAGTGGGACTTGAACTCAGCACAGCTACAGCCCTCTTAGAAATAAAGTACCAGCTACAGCCCTAGATCTTCCCCTGGTTACCTCCACATAAGCAGGGAGAATAGCATACACAGGGTTAGTAAAAAATATTTCAGCAATGAATTCAAAACTGAAACCAAGTTAACAGAAAAATTCTTCAATTCTTTTTTTAAATTAAAAAAATTTTTGTGGGGGAGGCAATTAGGTTTATTTAATTAATTTATTTGGCTTATTTTAATGGAGGTACTGGGGATTGAACCCAGGACCTTGTGCATGCTAAGCATGTGCTCTACCACTGAGCTATACCATCCCTCCCTTTTTTTTAATTAAAAAAATTTTTTTTCTTCAATTCTTGAAACCTGTTCTCTCCCTGTTTAGTTAATCTCTTTCTCACTATCAATGTCACAGGTTTCTTGGCTTCTTCCTCCTGGTTGGGGCCAGCTTCCTCCCATCAAGGGGTACATATCAGTCTCAGCCACGCACCTCTCATGCATTACTCACACGGTAGGTAGACGTGGGTGGCCCAGTTGCCCCGCTCATGGGGAAAAGTGCGCACCCGGCCCCCATGTTTTGCACTGTCATCCGCCGGCCCCTCCTCGGTGCCTGGGAACATGAGCAGCACACTGTCGGGTACTGGCAGCCTCTGGCTGGGAACAGGGCTCTGGCCACTGCAAGAAAAAAGGAAAAACAAGCATTTAGCCCCCTGGCATTCTCTACCTCTACACACAATGCAAGTTGTAACTGCTTGTACAGGGTGACTCTGCGTACAGGGTTTCTCTCCAGGTGCTATAAGCAGCTTATAGGTAACCAAAACGCTCTTTCCCATCACTGTTTCATCAGGGTCTCCCAACAACTCCAGAAGGCAGATCTTAGTGGAGAACATGGTCCCCATAGGAAACAACTGGGCAGGTAGCAACATGTGGTTCAGAGGTCACATATCCTAACTGGACAAGCCTGAGCTGGAGACAAGGCTAGTTCTGTGGTTTTGGGCAAGTCATGTGCCCTCTGTGGGCCTCAGTTTCCTCATCTGTAAAGTGTATTTCTATCTGATAGGGCTATTGTGAGATGAACCGAGACACAGCTTGCACTCAGCAAGCACCAGGCCTGGCAATTAGAAACTGAAGCTCCACAAAGTGGGAAATTTCAATGGTTTTGCTCAGTGCTGAGTCCCCAGTCCCGAGTCTGGAGCAGAGACTGCTCAATGAATATTTACTGCATGAATGAAAACACTCTCTAAAGGAGGAAACAGATCTAGGGTGGTCCAGCAGTGCTCGCCAGAAGACAGAGTGAGCCAGTGGAGGAAGCTGGACCCAAAGCCACGTTTCCTGCTTCCTAACCTTGGCAGAGCCAGGTCGGGGCACTCTGGGACTTTTGTCCAGGGCTGTCCTCTGGATCCTCCTTTCCACCGGTGCCCCTTTTCCTTACCTCGCGAGCAGCCCCGCACCCTCCCCAACCCATCCCGAAGGTTGGGTCCAGTCCAGGTCTCAAGCGTCCCCAGAAAGACTTCCTAGCTCCTTACCCATTGCTGCCTCCAGCCCCTTGCCGGGCCAGGATCCCGGCCTCAGCCTCATCCTCGGAGCCGCTGCTGCTGTAGCCCACCAGGGGCGCCGCGCTCATGGGGCCCCCTCCACTACAAGACGGATGGTCAGCCGGCAATCAGCACCTCACCCGGAATTCCGCTGCGCCGGAAGTTCACTCCCGGGGGCGGGGCCCGGGTTAGCACCGCCTCGGGGCGGAGTCGGGGGCGGGGCCGGCAGGACGGTAGCAAAGACTCTCCCTAACCAGACCACGCTGCTTGCACCCTCGCTGCGCCTTGACCGCTACCTGGAGTCTCCCGGAACACCCATCCTCCGTGTGCCCATTTCACAGATCGCTTTGGGCCCTGACCTCTCTGTCTGCTGCCCTGTCTGCAGCAACTCAGGACCTCCCAGCAACAGATGGTCCCTGGGTCAGCGGTCACCGCTCTAGATCCAGACGAGATCCTTGCCCTCGCGGTACGGACGGGGTCAGAGGTCCCAGGACCCCTTCCTCAAGGCAGCCCTAAGTCCGAGCTCCAGGGACCCCTTCCCCTAAGAGCGAGCTGAGAAGTCAGAAGAGGTTCAGTTCCAGAAGATCA